AAGAGGAAACTCCGCCCCCAGCCAAGTGAAGAAGGTGTTCCTGAGCTGCGTCCGCTGCGGGGCGGCCCGGGCCCTGCTCTGGGTCAGAACCACGGGGGCCGCTGTATCCGGGACGACTGCAGCAAACCGTGTGCAGGGCAGTCTGACTGGGAGGACACTGGGAAGGGTGGGCCCGTGTGTGTCATCCTGCACCGTCCACACGGAGTCCCCTCCCTCACCTGTGTGGGGTAAAGGTGAGGACCCAGGTCCAGCCTCGGGGTCGCTGTGCTAACCCCAGTGTGTGAGCAGGGCACCGAGATGCATTTGGGCTTAAACAAGAGTTTATTCACAGCTGTTTTTTTTTTAATAGATTATTTTTTTAAGATTTTATTTATTTTATTTTTAAAGAGAGGGAAAGGGAGGGAGAAAGAGTGGGAGAGAAACATCAAAGTGTAGTTGCCTCTCTGCTGCCCCCCACTGGGAACTGAACTGCAACCCAGGCATGTGCCCTGACTGGGAATCAAACCGGCAACCCTTTGGTGCACAGGCCAGTGCTCAATCCACTGAGGCACACCCACCCGGGCCCATTGCTGTTCTTCTTAAAGAAAACCCATCAACCTACCAAACAAAGGGGAAAAAATGTTGGAAGTCAGAGCCCTCCTCCTCCAGCATCTGCCCCTCCCTGTTCCCCCGCCTCCTCTTCGGGGGACACCATTTCAGACTGGACTGTGTCCCCCTAAATCAGTAGCTTGAGGCCATAACCCCTCCCAGTGTGACTGTGTTTGGGGGTGGGCCCCCCGCTGCACCCATCAAGCCAGCTCCCAGCTGCTGTGCTCTGCACGGGCGCATCCCCTCCAGCCCTGGGCCCTTCTCTCCCTGTGCTCCCGGCTCTCTGCCCTCAGCTCCTGGTCGGGGGAGACAGCACACCAAGGCCATGACCACGACAGGAAGTTCCCCCTTCAGGCCTCTCGGTCTTTCTCTGCTCACTGCAGGCACCGCACCCTGAGGTTTCCGCGTGTGTTTGTTCACCGGGGTCCCCAGTGCACCCCCAGGAGGATGTAGCACCTGCAGAGACAGGAGCTCCCATCGCCTGGCGTCTCCGTACCTGGGCTCGAGGGGACTCGGCCGGCAGGCGAATCGTTTTGAGGGTGGGGGATGCCGTAGCCCACCCCGTGCCCAGGGCTGTGCGCCCTGCACCCCCACGTGTCTTTGCCTTGGTAGCCCTGAGTGGGCAGCCAGCCCGCACGACCCAGCACACAGTGGTTGCTCGACTGTGCAGGACGAGACAGCACGTTTGCTGACCAAAGAAAGTAACGGGGGAAGCAAATGAACTCAAAATCGGCATCACTGTGCATTCATGTCTGACCACCATCCGCCATCTAGTGGTGGAAGAGGGCACGTTCAGGGTGAGCAGGTTCTGGAAAAGGAGCCCGGGACCAGGGACCAGCCCACCCGGAGCTGGAAGGAGGGACGGCTGGCCCCAGTCCCCTCCGAGGATGGCCGCTTCCTGAGGATGCCGCCACCCTGTGGCCAGACCTTGCCCATCACTGCGGTGTAAAAGGTGGGGGCACAGGGAGAAGAAACGCAGTGTGATGTGTGAGGCCGCACTTTTGGTGGGGCTGCCTGAGACGTGAGCACTCCTGGCGGCCTGCCAGCTGCCAGGGGACGGTCCTCACTGACCTCAACTCGAGGCACTTCAGTGAAGTAGGGAGTGGCCGTCAAAGCTAGGCTGGGGGGGAGTGACACGTGGCGGTGGCCACACTTTTTAGGAAGATTCACCTAGAGACATAGGACGGGACACGGGCAGGGGGCAGGGGGCAGGCTTGGGTGTGGCGGTGTTCGGGGCAGGGGAATTCTGCAGGGTGAAAGGAAGAGCCAGATGGGAAGCAAAGACTGAACCTGGAGAGGCAGGCCGAGGGCCTGAGAGCTCGGTTTACCGCACCCTGGGAACTGATGCCAGGTGCTTGGGGCCCCCACCCATTTTCTCCCCATGGATGCTGGTTCTCCGAGTGCAGAAGGCAACTGGGAGCCACGTGAGTCCCAGGAAACAAAAGCTTCAGGCTCCAAACCGTCTCGTTCTTTTGCACAGATGGCTACATCTGTTGCTTTGCTTCAGCGAGGGGAGCGGCGGCACCAGTCTGCACGGCCCTCCCCCGCAGGTCGCTGCCAGGGTCCTCGGGGTCATAATGTCTAAGTGTTTTGGAAGCAGTGACACGTGGCACAGAGACGGCTGTCATGGCTGCCCAGTGGGCCCCTGTCCCCAAGCAGAGCAGGGATGTGGGAGCCAGCCGACCTCCCCCCCCGCCTGTGTGCACAGGTCCTGCGGGGGCTGTCTAGCCCCCCTCCCCTGCCGCCCCTACACCCCTGCCTCTGCCTATGCAGGAGTCAGTGGTCTGCCCGGCGGGGGGCGGTTGGGCTGTCCTTAGCTTCCTGTGCTTGTTCAGAACCCACTTTTCAGGCCCGGAAGCAGCGTCCCCTGCATGTGGACGAAGCCAGCTCACTGTACAAGCTGCTGTCAGGGCCGTCCTTCCAGCCTTGGCCTCTGAACCCAGAAGTCTGCCTCTTGGTGTCTCCCATCCAAGCGTCCCCTTGAGCATTGGGCTGTCCCCTCTGACTTGTCTCTGGCTCTCTAACTGGGGACAGAGGCTCCCTGCGGCTCAGGGAGGTGAGTGCGCCTCTGCCCAAGGCAGCCCCTGGCCACCACGGGGCTCATCACAGGCTGGTGGCCTCACTGCCCGAAGCCTCACTTGGAGTTAATGTCATCGAAGAATTAATTGACAATGACCTCAGTCCCTTTCCTCAGTCAGATCTGATGACTTGAAATGCGGGCTAAGTGTCCTATGGGGGGTTCCCAAAGCACATGGCCTCGGGCTTCTCCTCACCGAGACCCGCAGCTCGCTCTCCCTCCCCACTCAGGGTCTCCTCACAGACTCTCCGGGTCAGCCAGGGTTGGACGCCAGGTGCCAGCTTCATTCCAAGTCCAAGTTAGTGCCCAGATCATGCTACAGAACTGTCTCAGAAGTCTCAGGCAGGTGGCGCCTGGCCTTGGGTACACGGGGCACCTGAGGGACGTGGTTAGATCCCCCACCGCTCCCAGCCATGTCCTTCTGCCCACCCACGTCCGTCTGAATCAGAACTGGGTCTGATGTCTGCCTTTATCCCCAGGGCGCGCCAAACACAGGTCCCAGGGTGTCTGACCCTTTCCTGTCCCAGTGCCCAGGGCTGTACTGAGCGGTGGTGGGCACCCCATGTTTGTTGAATGAATTCATGTCAAAAATTTTCCATACATTTTCCATGATTCCGGAGAAGCCTGAGACCTCCGATCAGACGAGACCTGCCTGTCCCTCTGGGCACGCAGACCTCCATCCGTCCACAGGGCACAGACACTCGTTTCCTCAAAAATCAACTTGACCTCCCTGGGGTCAGGGGTCGGTTCACGGGGCAGCTCGGCCCACCGTTGCTGGGCCTGGAACCTGGGTCTGCCATGCTGCCCACCCACGAGCCACCGTCCGGCCAAGTCTCCACGAGTTCTGACTTGCCCCTTCGGACCGCTGGCCTGCAAATGCCCAGCCACCACCCGCTGCCCTGGGCGGAGCCTCTCTTCCCAGAAAGGACCCTCTTTCCACTCCTGGGTCCTTGTTCCAGGAACATTCTCGTCTCTTCTTGTCCCTCTTCCAATGCAGTCCCAGGACTTGACCAGACAGTGAGACACCTGGTTGTGGCTTGAACAGTAATGAACCCGGTGCCAAAGCACAAGGCCCTCCTTTCCCCGGAAAAGCTGGAGCGGTCGGCGCCCACTGGGCCGGGGGCTCATCCGAACGACCGACTCCCAGCAGAGCCCTGCCCACACTTGGGTCGGGGTCTCCACTGTGTCATCCTCCGTGACAAAGGACAAGCCCGGAGCCTGGCCTCACTGCAGCCTGCACTTCACTGTCTCCTCTTCCCCAAGGGACACTGTGCAGAACTCCCGTCCCTGCAGGAGTCCCCCAGCCTGAGGGGCTCTCCGGCCTGGGTGTCTGTGGGCCGGGAGCGCCCGGCAGGAGCTCGGGGGCCACCCAAGGGGACCGGGGGGCGGGCAGAGGAGAGCTGCTTCACTGGGGGCTGGGACACAGGTACTTGTGGGACCCCAGGGCAGGGAAGGGGTCTGTCCAGGACCCGAACTCATGACCGTCACAGGCCCACACTACCTGACAGGAACCCCACCCCCCCATCAGGTGACACTCGGAGATCTGGGCCAGGGACTTGTCCCCCGACAAGTGCTACCACCAAAGGGGTGGGTGCCTGCACTCACTGGCCAGGGTCAGCCCCACCCACGACTAGGTTCCACTGCACTGGCCGCAGCTCCACACCCCTCCCCCGATGACATCGGGTTACGGGGCCCACAGTGACCAGCCTTCCCACGATGCCTCTGTAGAGGCCTGGGGACCCGTGGGGGACCCGTGGGGGACCCGTTAGCCGTGAGCAGACCAGCTGCGTGCTCAGCCCGCCAGCCTCTCCCTGGAGCAGCTGGGAGGCCCGGTTCCAGACTCACCTCGGCCCCTTTTCCCTGCCAGCTGAGACGCGGCGGTAACTTTGCACTACATTTTATCTGTTCAAGATAAAACCGTGAGCTCCTCTGAGACCCGCAGGCCTGTTTCTGTCGGCTGGCTGGTCGGTGAGCCACCCCCTCAGTGCCCACCCCCGGTTTGGGTGCGGTTTGTCGCCGGATTTCATGTGTGGATTTGGTGTGGGGAATGCAAGACGGGTTGGGGGGTGAATGGCAGAGTCACCCTCCAAAATAACTTTCTCCGAGTCTGTGTCTACCCTGGAGTCTGGAAAATACTTGGAAAAAAACGCTCTGGGCCCTTGGCATCTTTCTAGATGGACCGTCCTGTGAATCACCCCAAAACGCTCCTGCCTAAACAAATACAGACCCTGTTCCTCTGGTTTGTGTTCAGTCGCAGAAATAAGGGACGCAGACCAAGACAGGCTGTCCGGGCATTCCAAGCGCCTCCCAAAACAGGGAAAAGGTCTTACGAAAATCTCAAGAACTCCAAGGTGTTTTTATTGATTTCAAATTCCAATAGAGTGATTATGTTTTATCTAAATATTTTATCACACAACTGAAACATGGAATTATTTTTTTCAGAAATAGAGTTAAATACATCAATCTAGTTACAAATTCTAATATAAAGAGTACAAAATATAATGTTATAAATTGTATTTTAAAAAAGAAATACAAATTCTATGGTTTTTGCATTTCCTGCCTCAAAGTGGAATTAGCAAAACCGACAAAGACGGGACATCCCCCCGTGTCCCCACGTCCCCGCACGCGGCAGACGGGCGCGGCCTGCCCAGAGCCGCCCCTCCCCCACCCTCCGCTCAGTGGGTCGCGGGCTCTGCGGGGAGAAGTCAGCGGAGCCGAACGCAGCCACGAGACCCGTGCATTCCCGACCGGTGGGCACTTGGGAGTGGACGCTGAAGTGGTACAGAGACGGGGCGCCCCTCTCTGCGTACGTCCGGTCCCTGACACTTCTGGGGGTCGGGGGGCGGAGATCTGTTTTCAAGAAGGAATGTCGGTCAAGAGAACCGGCTCTGACGGTGCGGGATGTGCAGAGACGGAGGGCTGCTGTCACTTCCTGTGACGCAGAAGACACTTGTCCCCTGAGCTGCACTCCAGAGCCAGCGGCCCGAGAGACAAGCCCCGCCTCCTGCCACACCCAGCAGCCCCAAGGAGGGCGGAGTCAGGGGTCCAGGCGTGCGTCTGCCTGCGTGCAGCTGCTCGAGTGTTGGGGACGCCGCGGCAGGGAGGCCACGCTGCGCAACATCGGCATCGGCCTCCTTTCTGGCACCAGGTGGCCACGGGTGAGGCCCCGGCTCAGGGTCCAGGTGCCGTCTCTCAGGAGACCAGTGTGCCTCCCGGTCTCAAGTGTAACTATGGGGGCACCCCTTAAAGCATCTAATACTTTTCAAAACCAAAAAGGCAAAGCCCGCTTGGCTTTAAAATCCGTCCTGTGTTTGCAGCAAGCTGCGATCTGTCCACCGAAGCCTGCCCCACGCCCTCCCGGGAAGCAGGGAGGTCACAGAGCAGGGTCCGCTCCCCAGGGAAGATGCCAACAGCCGGCTCTGCGGAGAGTGTCACTCCATCCTTCACATCGGGAGGCGGTGCGGGGGACCCGAAAGCCTGCCGCGAGCGTGGCGTTCTGGGTCATCTGACTCGAACAGTAAGAGGAGGCGTGAGCGGAGCAGGGGCGTGGCCAGCGGGGCCGAGACATACACGGAGAAGCTGCGTGAGGACAACAAACCCTTTATTGTCTGAGTCGCACGAGAGACGCCAACACCGCGAAGCCCCTGGGAAGCGGAAGGAAACAGCAGATCGGTAGAGGTAGTAGTAGCGAGTCTGGAACAGGGAAAAGGTGGCTGACGGGAGACCACACGGCAGTCATCGGAAAAGAGCAATCGAACACATCGGCTAAATAAATAAGAAGACACAAACCATATTAAATACGAGGGCAGAACGGACAGAAAGGCATTCGTGGCCCAGCACAACACTGATGTCCGGGGGAGAAGGGGACCACGGGCAGGCTCGGAGATGGCACGTCTTGCAGGGCGGTGACCCGGAGGCCCCGCCTGTCCCTTTAGTGACACGAGAGCCCGGTGTCTGCACTCCACACCGCTCCCCGCCACTCACACCGGCTCAGGGTGCACGCTGCTCCGCCCAGGGGCCCAGGCGCCTCCCCTCCATCCACCAGGCTCCCGGGCAGGAGTCTCCGAAAGCCTGTGGGTGCCTACGTGCTGCTCTGGGACAGTGAGGGCGGACACGACACCCCGTGTCACTTTGAGTGCAGAGTTCAATGACCAAAACACAGAGACACACAGAATGGTGTCGCCAGCCCCTGGGCCTCCCTCAGCTGCCACCAAGAGACGGACAGCCAGAGAAAGCAGGTATGTGGCATTGAGGAAGCATCGAAACGATGGAATGCAAGTCAGCAGAGAGGCGCTGTGACCGCGGAGGCAAGCAGAGCAGTGTCTGCAACTTCGCGCGAGGTGTCTCTGCAGGGCAGCTGCGCGTCACCCCGCCCCGTCTGCGGGGACATTCCCGATCAGGCCAGCGAGACAGGCCACCTGGTACACATCGGGCGTGAGGGTGTCAGGAAAACACGTGAAGACCTGGGTGTGCACACCCACACACGCGTGTGCATGTCAGTGTGCACATGCACACACGTGTGTGTGGATGCTCGAGCCAGTCCGGTCGCACTGTTTCTGAGTGTTGCAAAGTTGAACCGTCAAGTAACTTCAGCTCAGTGACGAGTAGCGTCCAGAACCAAACACTAGCTAACAACAACAGTAATAATATAATAATTCAACAAACCATTAGAACAAGAAAACCACACTTCAGAGGGGTGGGTGGGTGTGTTTAAATAAAGTCTTCGTATCAGAAGCCCATTTTCTACAAAAACTGCGCTGACACACTGCGGTAGGAAGTAAACTGTCGCTCTCCCCAGCATCGAAGGTTAAGGGTAATTTCTGTACGTGTAAAATTATTGCTTTTTTGAAAAATATATTTAGCATGCCCGCTTTAACCCATTTCCTGCCTTTACAAAATTTCACAATTAAAAAAAAACCTAGTAAAGCTTTTGCAAAAAATTTCACAGAACATTCCCATTCAAGGCAGCAGTAACTTCTGATAATGCATAAAATTCCATGTGCAAAACTCTGAGACGCTCGGAAACATTGCCATCACACAGAGGGTCGCGGTCCCAGGAAAAGCAAATGCTTCTATCAGTGGGATACAGTTCTCACTGCAGTGCCGCAAGGTTTAAGATCCTTCGCTCCGGGCCGTGACCCCACCACAGAAACTTGAGTCTGGGTGACCCGGGAAGAGGTATATGGAGCCCTCACGCCGGGGCCTGGGGCCCTCCCCCTCCAGCAAGAAGGTGCCCCTCCTGTGGAGGGGGCCAGGCCCACGAGGAACACCCACAGACTCACCGGGGTGGGGAGGGCAGGGAGGAGGAGAGGGCGGGAGGTCCCGGAGCACCAGGGCCCGGGCGGTCAGGCCCCCCCGCGCCCACCCGGGAGTCGTCCCTTGGGATGCAGAGGGCCCGGCCGACAGGGCACGGTGGCCAGACCGCGCGTGAGGACCAGCAGCCTCCCCGTGGGAGCAGTCTGCAGAACGCAGCCCTGTTACAAAAGGCCCTGAGAAGAAACGAAGGGTCCCGCTTCACTTAGTGTTCAACTAGCTCTGCTCCGCCTGGGTACTGAGCGCAGGCCTGGGAGAGCCTCCGGGGTGCGTGGCGGAGCCGAGGATCAGCCCGGGCCCCTCGTCTGCACGCCCCCCAAGCCCAGCTGTGGGCCACCTCCGTCCCGCTCAAGCACAACTTAAATACCCACGGAGGTGGGAGGGCCGCAGTGGTCCCATGGCATCAAGCTCAAGCCCCCCACCCCCGCAACAGTCCCACCCGCAGGCCTCTGGTTGGTCCGACACGCGCCAAAAGCCCATTTCCAGTGTCTCCAGCCCCACTGGAGCCCGCGCCCTCCCTGGGCCCGCTGACGCCCCGACCGGCAAGGAAGCCTGGGCGAAGTGCAGGTGCGCGCGGGCGGAGGGGCTGCACGGGACCCCCAGGGCGTGTCTGCGCCGAGGCCCCGCGTCCCACCAGAGCGGCCTCGGCTTCCACATCAGCACAGCAGTCCAGGGCGGAGGTGTCGGTGGCAAGGGCTCCGCTCTCTTCTTCTCCAGGCTGAGCTGGGGTCACTGCTGGGAGGCTGCTGGGACATCGGGGCACTGCTAACGGCCGTCCCAGGGCCCGGGGGTCCACTGGCAGCGTGTCTCTAGGTTCCCTTTCGGGGAGGCACTGTCGGGGCGGCATCTGGGCTGGAAGGCTCTCTCCCCTGCACGAGAAAAGGAGACACAGAAAGGCTGACTTCCGCCTCCGGGTCTCTGAGCCCCCGGGTCCCTGCCGCCGTGTTTCTCACTCACGCCCGGAACACAGACCATGGCCAGCACGGAGCCACCCCTCAGCCAAGACCCCGACGTCAGCTGCGGCTCCCCGGCCAGGAGCAGGGCACGTGGTGAGCGCACCTGCCGCCTCCAGCAGCGGCTGAGACGGTCGGTCCCGGGACCCATGGCCAGGACTCTCTCAGGGCCAGGATGAGAATGGCGAACAAGGTCTCTGAGCAGCTCCTCGGGAAGGGCTGCGCGAGGAGGGCGGGGAGGGCCCAGAGCCAGCCTGGGTCCAGGGGCCAAACAGAGAAGCGCACAGCTCCCGCCCGGCCCAACAAAACCGAAGAGACAAGCCCCAATTTCTGCCACCAGTTGCCAAATCTCAGAAATGGAAGGGGCCCCTTCTCAAGTCGCGTGAACCACAAGAGAAGAGAAGAGAGGCAAGCCCGCGGCACCTGCAGGAGGCCCGCAGACCCCAGGGGACTCGGCGCTGCTGGAACTCCAGCGTTTACGACCCGAGGACAGGACAGCAGGTGCGACCCACCCACCGACACCGTGCTCACGCTCAGCTAAGGCCGGCAAGTTATGCCGACCACTCAAAACGCGCTTGCACACCAAACAGCACCCTCACGGAACGTTCCAGCGACCGAGCAGGTGGACTGTCGTTCAGCCCCCAGACCTGGGTGCGCAGGTGCCATCTCTCTTTAGAATGGAAGGTTGTGTTCAAATAGCATCGTGTGTGTTCAGAGTCACTTTCACGTGTCGGTCAACGGCAACCGACAATTTTACTGCTGAACACGGTCCCTAGGGGTTTAAGAAATGGATGGTGTCCACCGGAGAACCCCGGGACGAGGAAGGGACGAGGCAGGCCCAAGACAACGCAGGGAGAGCGCTTTCACACAGTCCGGCTTCCCCTTTTCACAGCTGTGCGGGGGGCTTTGCAGCCTCGCAGAGAGAAACCGTGCCTCCCTCCGAGGCACTTACTTCCACGGCCCAGGACGGCCCAAGCCCTTCCAGGAGAAAAGCAAAGGGAAGAGACGCCCAGGGAGAGAGTGTGTGTCCACCAAGCCCCCCGCCCCAGAAACCCCGCACCTGCGTCCCGGAGACCTCTTCGAGTGGTCTGTCACGGGAGTGTGGCAAAGACATGGGGGCGCCTGGGAGCCCCGTGGTGGACGGGCTGGACCCGAGCGCACAGGCCCAGAGAAGAGACCACCAGCATGAGCGCATCGGAGAAAGTCACTTCACAGCTCCTCGGGGCTCGGGCCCGGGCCAACCTGGCCTCCTATGCAGGTGCCCCCCCCTTCTGCCTGAACCCCACACCCGAGAGCCACTCCCCTGGGTGCACAGTGTGACCCCCAGTGACAATCACCCAACAGGACGTCTCCAACGTGAATACGGCGAGGCAAGGGGGGGTCCGCCCACCCAGGGGAGGTCTTCTGGTGCGGGTGGTGCGTGAGGCTGCGGCCGAGAGAGAGGCCGACAGCGCTGTTCCCAAACAGGCATTTCCCCGTGTCCTCCCTGGACGAGCAAGCAGCCGGCCGCAGCCCATGGCACAGCACGAGGACCCACGAGCGTCCATGACCGAGCACACCGCCTCCGGCCATGGCATCTGAACCAGGCTCCGGCAGAACGGACCCGCGGCGGACGAATGGGGCCTGTTCCCGGAGGCTCCGGTGTCACGGAGCCGCCTGCCGGTGCTACCCCGGCAAATGCTCGCAGGAGAGCCGAGTCTCGGGGGCATGTACAGGGTCACCTGGGTGCAGGGGACCCGGCACTGACTCGAGGCAGCGTCTCAGTTTATAATTCTCCAGTGACGGCACAGCCTCGCAGGGACAATGTCCCACAGACAGGTGGGGGGGCCCTGTCACGGGGTGACCCCCACTACAGAGGACAGGGCCACCTAATTCGAGGGCGGCCGCTGGTGCCGGGAGCCGTCGTTGCAGCCTGACTCATCCGGGGAGCTGTGCAAGCAGTGCCGTGCAAGCATGAGCCCACCGTCTAAAACTGCGGGTTTTACTGCTGAGAAAGGACACTGCCGATAAAAAACCCGACAAGGTATGTGACCAATGACATGTGAGCAGAGGCTCTGAACAATAAAGGAAACTCTAAAACTGCAACGCACACACAAAGGAGATCCCTGACCAGGTACTGCCCCCGCAGCTGCAGGTCGGCCACGAGTTCTCCGGAGGCCCTCTGCGTGGCCGCGGCTCTGACCTCCTGGACACCCTCATCGTCAGTCACCACAACCCCTCCCGGTGGCTACGTGCGGGGGGACACAGCACCCTCGCTGCGTCTCAGCCCCCACGGGGCACGGTGACACCCCTCTGCATTCACAACAAGGGTGTCTGCAGTCACAGAGTGCCGAGGTGAGACCATCACGTAGAAAACGTGTGGGACAAAAAAGGAAGGCGCTCCGCACCAAGGCCATCGGCCGGGACCCCACGAGGGACCAGCGAGAACAGTGTGTGCGCACCGCTGCAGATCAGCGCCCCCGGACCCACCACGCGGTGCAGGCAGGGAGTGGTCTGTGTCCGAAGGCCACACACGGGTGTCCAGACACGCGCAGCTGTGCGGTGGAGTACGTGACATGGACACAGACAGGCAACACCCTGCTTGGCGGGCACTTCTGATGCAGGAACACGAGAACCCGGGACTGAAGAGGAGACTGAGGGTGGTTTCTTAGGGACCAGAGACTTACACGCAAAACCACCTGCGTGGGGAGCACCTGAGAGTCTGGGCTCCCCGTCCCTGCGGGCCCCCCACCGGCGCAGAGGCGGCCGGAGTGACCCTCTGGGTCTCACAGGCCCAAGGCCAGGCTGCCCTGCGGTCTGGGCCCCGCGTCCAAGCCTGCGGGGTGGCCTGCATATCTGTCCAGCCAGAGAGCAGCTGCCCCGGGACGACCACCGTGGCTCACATCCCCAAGACCTCACCACACACCCAAACCCATGACCACAGCCCTTGGGAAACCTACCTGTTTGGGGGCGTCCGTGGAGGCAGCCAGCAGTTCAGCACCTCGGAGGCCGTCAGAGTCGAACACCACTGCGGGGACAAGGGGCGCATCAGTGGCCCGGAACTGGGGCTGTCACAGATGGAGCACTCTCACACTGGGGGGGGGGGGAGGGGGGGAGGGGGAGGGAGGGGGAGGGAGGGGGAGGGGGGAGGGAGGAGACAGCAGCACCTGACACTGCACCCTCACTGCCCCGCTGCCCAGCCCAAAACGCCTCCTGGGGCCTCCGCCCTCTCACCCAGCCCAGCTGCCCGAGGGCGTGGCCCCGACCACGCTGATTACAGGCCCCTGGAAAGGCCCCTCCCCTGCCTCACTACCGTCGGGCCCTGTCGTTTGTCCTTTCGCATCAGACTGGCTTGGGTGTGACACTTCACACTTGGAGTGTGGGTCCCTCCAGCCCCGCCCTCACCCGGCTCCCTGGGGTGACACAGGGCCCTGGGTCCCACGGGGTCTCAGGGAGGCATGTCCTGGAGAGGCCAGGCCCTCCTCCCTCACTGCCGGCTACCACACGGGGCTGGTGGGGCAGGCCGCAGGGCTCATTAGCGTCTTCACAGGTGTCCACACTCTAATTAAAACGGGTCATTTGCACACAGGCGCATCTCCCATTAAACGGCGGGGCACTTGGGTGCAAAGGGAAAAGCACTTCAGGTGCTGCACTGGGGGGGAGGGTCTGGCGGTCCCTAGGGAAGGGACGGGGACGGTGAGGGCACAGGGGCAGGGCGAGCGTACCTGAGTGAGCCCGCGTGTGCGCCCGCAGGTGGCTGGGCTGGTGGAAGCACTTCCCACACTCCACGCAGACGAAGTCTCCTTGGCCGGCCTGTGTCCGGGGCGCCCCTGGGCGGCGGTGGCCAAGGAGGTGGGGGGGGAGAGGAAACCATCGTTAGTCCATCCGACGCGTCCAGATGGGAGGGACCCAGGCCCCCGGGACGGCTGCCAGCCTCCTCCAGGCTCTGCCAACAGCCCGGCACACGCAGGGCCGCAAGCCAGCGTACGTTCCGACGAATTAAGTCCCATTCCCAGGACGCGCCCACACAGGCCGCTGTCGGGAGGGTGGGGCTCCGAGTGTGCAGGTGGCACACCGGGCCAGTCAGACTGATGCTGCCTGGCCAGACTGGGCGTGGGGACTCGGAGCAGCAGGGCCGGTCCCTGGGCCGTCACTATGTGGGGCCATGTGCCAGGGGCCCAGCCATGCACACCCTGCCCACGGGCCCTTACCGGGAGCCCTGTGCTGTCCCCACAGAGCCCCTGGGGACACCTGGGAACCCAGGCCTCCTGTCCCCTTTGGTCCTAATGGACGCTCCACTTTGGTGGGAAAGGGGAGGCAACCCTCCTGTGAAGGCGTCTCTCCGAAGAAAAGGCTGGTTTTCAGGGGACAGCAGCTCCACAGGGAACCTCACCAGTGACGCAGGCCCCGCGGGAAAACCAGACGTGAAAACAGTGACCACAAAGTTGCCCCTGACGCAGCCGGTTTGAAACGGCACCCCGAGAGCCGAGCGTCTGTGGGCCGAAAGCCCCACTGTGAACACAGTGTCCCGGTGAGACCTGCTGTGGTGGAGCTGCCCCTCTCGGGTCAGGTGGCCTCAACAGACGCGGTGGAAAAGGGCCTGCACACGCCAGACTCTGGTGCGCAGTTGGCAGAGTGACGCGCAGACCTCATGGCCTGGTCTCTCAGGCGACCTCACAACCACACGGCCCAGGGGACGGGAGAGCCTGCCTGCAGCGTCCTCGCTGCCTGGTCACCACCACGCACCATGTTGCCGATGGGCCCCTCTGCCGACTCCGCGATTCCAGTGACAGCCATGGGCCCCTCTGCCGGAGTCTTCACCAAGCACGTTGGTGCAGGGAGAGCTCAGAGGGCTGACCCTTCTGGGGGTGCATCCCAGGCCCCAGAGGGGACCCGCAGGCTCCCTTGAGCGTCCCCAGTGCCCCCCCAGTCCGAGTGCCCACATCCCATAGCTCTCTGTCCACTGCGAATGAAGCATGTCTCCCAGGAACACCCTTCCTTCCGCAGGTAGGTCCCAGAAAAGCTCGGCTGCGAGAGCACCTCGTCCCCACTCCTCTTGCCGCCCAACCGTCCGGGCAGCTGCCTGGCTCTCGAATGCACAGCCTGTGCCTGCAGGGGCACCTGCCCAAGGCATGACACGCAGCACGGCCCCCATGTCTGAAACTGGCCTGCAAACTCCAAGCCAGATGGGTGCTGGTGCTCCGAGGCCACCTTCCAGCTGGCTCTCTCCACCCCGCTGGGCCGCAATCACCGCTCCCGTTTCTGAACTAAGCACACACCAGCACGCACACACTTCCTGGGGCATCCCACCCTATCACTCTCTCTTCACTTTTCAAAGGAGAGACCCCTGACCTGCGTGCTCACTGACTGCCTGAGCTACGGCAAACTTCTGAGTTAATCTCAAACCCTGTCGACTTCCGTCTGAATGGAAGACAGCCTGGTGAGCCACAGCACCGTGGTCTGGCCCGGTGACCTGAGGTGAGCGGAGGGCGCTCGGAGGCCAGGAGGGGGGCCTGGCCCACCTCCAGGGCACACGTCTCTCCTCCCAGAGAAGCCCACATGCAAAGTCCGAGGGGCTCAGACCAGGGAAGGACACTTTCTGAGCATCGCACGGGGCAGCCCTGGTGTGACCACTGTCTTCACGTCCTGGTAAGAAGGACCTTACGTGGCATTCCATCCAGCGTCACTCCAGTCTGTCACCGTCCAGCCCCCACTCTAGCGTCTGGGGTATCAGATGCTGCGGCCTGGCTCCGGAAGCACAGGCAACTCGCTACTTTGTTACTGTTTTACCAACGAACCATTTACATCAGTTCACACGCTTCCAGAGTTGGCAGAATGATTACAGAAATCTCTCTCCTGGGCCCTGGCTGGTATAGCTCAGTGGATTGAGTGCGGGCCTGCGAACCACACGATCGCGGTTCGATTCCCAGTCAGAGCACATGTCTGGGTTGCAGGCCAGTCCCCTGTAGGCCAGTTCCCAGCAGGGGACACACAAAAGGCAACCAAACATTGATGTTTCTCTCCCTCTCTCCTTCCCTTCCCCTCTAAAGAAATAAAAAATAAAATCTTAAAAAAAAAAAAAAAAGTCAACCAAGTGGGTTGAAAACCTCGTGCCTCCTTCTTCCTGTGCAGGCTGTCCAGGCTGTCCAGGCTGCGCGTGGCTGGACCAACACCACTCAGCAGCGATGCGTGGGGGGAAGGTCCGAGGACCTCCTCCACTTCGGACAAAACCTCGGACTCCCAGACAGACCCGCCTGTGAGCCAAGCCCACAACTGCACTGTAGACACAACAGGTGTGTCCCTCCTCCCCTTCTGGAAGGTTCTCTCCCGCACACCTCGTCCTCCCCGGCTGCAAGGTGAGGCTACACGCTTCCCCGGTGGCCAGCAGTGAAGGGGTGGGTGGCCTTCCCTCCTCCGACGCTGCGCCTCGGGGAGAGGCAGCGAACGCCTCAGAGAACAACGTGAGAGAGCCGCAGTGCGGACGAACTCGGAGCACGAACTCCGAATGGTGGGAGGGACTCGAGACGAATCAGGGAAGAGTCTAGATTCATGACTCCAGGACCACCCGCTCCCAGGGCCCAGAACTACGGGCGAGGCAGCTGTGGAGGGACAGCAGCCTCGGGGAGGGCGGAGACGGAGCGTAAGGCGACCTGCGGTGATGGGCACCGCTGCCTGGGCTGCGGCGACAGCAGCAGCGTCTGTGTAACAAGGACTTCCACATCCCGGTCACCTCTCCAACACCCAGCCCACCCCGGCTGCAGGCCCCAACACCCCAGAGCCTCCCAGACAAGCTTGCAGATGAGAAAGTGACCGGTGGGAACCTGCACAGGTGCCCTGTGGAGGCTTGGGCAGGAGCAGGGGCCCTGGGAGGTAGGACGGCCCTGGAGCAGGAAGGCTGCCTGTCTCGGGGAGGAGCGCCGGCAAGGCTCCGAATGGCACAGGGACATGGATGAGGGATCTAGACCAGCAAGTCCGGCCCCTCCCTGAGCCCGGGAAGCTGTGCCTCTACCAAGGCCCCCCAGCAGCCCTGTCAGAGCGGAAACACCCCCCCCCGCCCCCCCAGTCTGCCCAGCCCCAACTGCTTGGGCGTGCGCGGCAGGGAACCACCATCCGGGCAGAGCGCTGCACTGTGCGGACAGCCGAGCGTTTCTCACGCTCGAAAAACAAAGGCTAAACCTCCCTCTGGACAAAAAGCCTTACGAACTCTTTACTTGTTCAGATGTTAAGAAGAAGGAACCTGGGCCGGGCCTGGGCGTGCAGGCCCTCAGCTTCCCTCCAGAAAGTCCTCAGGAAGTGCCAGCTGTGAGCAGGACCCACGGGGCTCGGCCCCCCGTCAGAGGAGCCCCGACAGCCCCTGAGACACCCCGACCACCGAACCTGAGGGACTCTCCCTGGGTGACTCACCTGCCAAAGGCATCACTCCTCAGCCCGGCTGGCCCGGGTGCCCCTGGGTCAGGGCTGGTTCCAAAGTCTCAGGAGAAAAGCCAGACCCAAGACCCGCACTTGTCCGCCCAGTCCCATCCCACAGTGGACTCGGGGTGCCCCTCTGCTGGCACGACTTCCCCCAACGACGAAGCACGTCCCCCTGAAAGTGCCCCCAGCTTCCTGCACAGAGAGAGACCGACCTCCGAGGCCGGTCAACGGGGACTCTGAGAAAGTGCAGAGCATGCGGGCTGCCCAGGCGTGGACTCCCAGCCACGGCTCCCTGGGGGCTGGGCGGCTGCTGGCCGGAAACACTGGGGCTTTGCCGGGCTCTTGGGGACGTGCCCCGTGGAGCAGGCGGGGACCCACGTGGAAATCCTGCTCGTTAGCACCGTCAGTGCCATGACCGCAGCTCTGGCGCGAGCAGGCTCCAGCAGGCGGGGCGTGTGTTTTCAAGAAGCAGCGGGTGTGGGTTTCCCAAGCTTTGAGTGGCCCATTCACGGCCTACGAGGCTTCCCTTGCTAATGCTAGAGGGCTGATACATATGTATATATGTATATACACTTTAATCACATAAAAGTGCAAAATAAAACTTAACAAAGGACAGCGAACATCTATCGAAACTCTGTCTGAAACGACAAGGAAGTGAAGCGCCATGCGGTACAGCTCCCACCAGCGTAGGCGTGGCATCACAGGAGGGCGGCCCTGTGGTGAGTGGGACACGCCCACCGGTGGGCGGTGCTCCCAACTGGGGGCGGGGCCAGCCAGGGAGGGGTGGGGGAGGGCCCGTGCGGCTTACCTCTGTGCTCCAGCATGGGGCCCTCGGCGCCCCAGCTCTGGTAGAGGGTCGCGAGGTCCTTTGGAATGTAGGTCTTGAAGATGCTGAGGATGTCCAGGTGTTTCTCGGGGCCCTCGGAGGCTGGCTCCTGCTTGGCCGCCTGCAGGAGGGGCGGGGCCGGCAGGGCTGCGTTCCCCCTGGGGCCCTGGCTGGCCTTGGAGGGGGTTTCGAGGGGAGGTAGAGGGGGGCCCCCATCGCCTTTCCTGTTCGGCGGACCCTGCGGCTGAGGGCTTGGTTTGGCTTTCTGTGGGTCCGGGGCACTGTGCTTGTTGGGGGTGCCCAGGCCTGCCCCCACCACGGGGGTGACACACTTGTCCCCCAGCCTGCTGCTGGCTGGGGACTGGGAACCCACCCGGGCGGTGATGGTGGGTGTGGGGGTGGTACTTCTGCTGAAGCCACCACCCGCCGCAGGCGCAGGTCTGGGGCCGGCCTCCTGCTTGGGCCTTGGTGGGGGTGTCGGGGCCAGGACACCGTGCTGCTCCGGGCCGGGGCCGGGTTTGGTCTGCCGAGGGCCCTCAGAGCCAGCCGCCCAGAGCGCGCAGGGGCCCCCCGACTGGCCCTCCCTGCTCTTTGATGTGCCGGTGACCTTTGCAGTCCCACCCAGGGACAAGGAGCTGCCTTTGGGCCCCAGGGCACCGCCCGGCACCTGGGTGCGTGTGAACCGAGCGATGGGCAGGGGCTGGCAGTCTTTGCCCCCGAGGGCGGGCGGGGGGCCCGTGCGTCCGCTGCGGACGAGGAACACCAGGCTGTCCCTGACACTCCTGTGCCCATTGGGCCGCGTCCACTGGGGGGCCGCAGCGCTGCAGCTGATGCGGTGCCGGATGCGTTTGTGCATCCACAGGACCTCGGGGTAGTACGACTGGTGGCTGCAGTAGGGGCAGGGCTGGGCGGCCAGCGCGGCCTGCGGCGGGGCAGCCGGCCCCGTGCGGCTGCGGTCATCCCGGGTCGAGCGCTCGCTGAGGTCCAGTGGGGCTGGGTCGGGGGCCGGCGGCCTCGTGCCCCGCCCGGAATGCTCCCTGTCGTGCACACCGCCTGGCTGCTCCTTCGGGCGGCCGGCCGGGCTCCCAGGCCAGCACCGCCAGGCCAGCCGGTCTGCACGAGTCGGATCGGCACCTGAAGGGACATCTGCAGTGTCCCCGGCGCCAAGGACTTCCTGTTTGGGGCGACACACTGGCGTCTTCGAGTCCACGGAACACCGTGGGGGCTCCGGCCTCCTGGCCGTCTCCCTGCCGTGGTCGTCCCGGGCGCACACGGAGGCGGTGACTTCCGTGCAGAGCCTGCCCGGGTCGTGCTCCGCCGAGAGGGTGTGGCGGAGGCCGTGGCCCCCGTTGGAGAGCACAGAAGCCATGTCTTCGGAAAAGCAGCAGCCGCGTGACTTTGCCCCTGAGGATCAATTGTGAGACATGAGGTTACCATTTCTCATCAGAACAGAACAAGGCTCCCGCAGAGCTGTACCGCCACCCCGCCGCCCAAGGCGGGGCGCACGGAGAGCCTAAGACAGGCCCGTGGCCACAGCAGGCAGGGCTGGGAAACTGCCCGCTCTGCCCCAGGGAGTCCAGCTGGCGCCGTGCAAAGTCCAAGTCCAAAACCCCAACACCAAAAATGTCCTATGGAGGAAGAAAGGGAGGGGGGGACATGCCACTCACCCCACCCTTCTGGGGAGATGCCCTGGACACACCCCCTGCTCTGTGCACCCACAGGGTCCGGCCAGAGCACACAAGGGGCTTGGCCTCCCCTCGGCCCAGGTGGACGCTACGTGGTGTCCACAGGCCATGGCTGTGACAAGCCACCTCCCCACTGGCCCCGAGCGGAGCAGGACTTGGAGCCTCTGCTCCCAGTCCGTCGGGGCCACTTCCAATGCTCCTCATCAGCTACTCCACCTGCCAGGTGCACTTCTCCCAGAACCACATGCCACCATGTCCACCACCAGGAAACAGGCCGGGCCGCCACCCTTGCCTCGGCCAACAGTCGGCACAGCGAGTCCCCTCGCGGTCCGGCCCCCACGCGGAGCTGGACGCACGCGGCAAACATGGCATCAGACGTGGCGGGAAAGGTGGCCCAGAGTTCGGAGCACAGCTGTGCGCTTCAGGTGGAGGCTGCGCTGGGCCTCGACCCCGAGGCTGTGGGACAGCAGGACTCATACAGGCCTGCCCGTCACGGCGGCCGCGGGGCACCTTCGAGGGTGTCTGGCTGCTGCCCAGGGGCTGAGGCACACAACCGGCCACGGGAGGCACGCGACGCGTGTGTGACCCACACACACGTGCACATGCCCAGTCTTCTTCCCAGGCTTGCTCTCCACTTGGCCCACGATGGCTTATGTGATCCACACACGCATTACATTACATACCGGGCTCACCCTGCACGAGCACACCTCTCATAGGCCCCCACCGGCCCTAGGAGTTCAGACGAGGGCTGGGGGCCACCCCCAGGGCAGCAGCTCACATGCGCCAGCTGCCACCACCCCCACAGCACGGAGGCGGCCAGTACGAGCACTTGGCAAAAGAAACATCACTCCTCTCTCATTTTCCTTCAGAAGTTTTTACCGTGGCAGCACCCCGGTCAGGGTCAGGGCTCCCACATCATGCCTGCCAGGGTGACCCCTCGAGGTGGCGGGCTCAGGGCCCGCAGCAAGCCTCCCGTGCGGGCGCCTGGCCCTCCAGCCCAAGCAGCAGAGGCTGGGGGACATCGTCATCCTGCCCCCCCGCCTGCTACTCAGGAAAGAGCCGCAGAATGAATCCCGCACAGGTGGGCGGGGAGCGAGACAGAAACAGCCTCAACCCCTGAGCACCCAGGGGCCGGGCCACTCGTGGTCCACGCCGCACCCAACCCAGCACCTGACCCACAGACGGGAGCCCGGCCGGCCCACCTGGAAACCCCTCGTCCTCGGGGACTGCGAGACGAAAAAGAATCCTCGGGCGCCAGCAGCTGGTTTTGGCATTTGTGACCTTCTAGCCAATACTGTATCAAATACTTCTGGTCCCCAAAGCAAGAACATGCAGTTGTAAATACTGTGTTCCAGAAGAGCCTTCCTGTCACTTACCTGTCTTAAAAGGGGACACCTGGGAACCAGGAAGACACAGAATGGAAGAAGGGTCGATGTTGGGGGAGAAATGAGGACAGGCACCGTGCCGCTCAAGCTTGGGCGTCACAGCTCCTGACGTGAACACAACTCAGAGACACGCACCTGCGCTCCTTCCCCACACAGGGAGCGTCATGCGCTCCAGGGAGCAGAGAAAGGCTCTGGACAAGAGGAAACACTGTAACTCTCCAACATAACCACGACCTCCATTTCTGCTGCTGCTTCATTATCCAAACACACAAGACGCAAATCCTGTCTGTTCGCATGGAAATTATAACGATCCTTTTAAAAAGAAAGGTGCTTTACTAGCAGAGTCTCCTGAGGTAAAGTCAGGCACGTGTCACCTGCAGAACAAAGGCCATTTCAAAAAGACCAGTCTGTGCCCCGGGTGCCAGCAGACTGTGCAGCACCAGTGCCATGCTCATGCTCCACCACTAGGTGGCGCAGGCGCCCAAGGCAGAACCACCCCGCCCAGCGCTACGTGGGTGGTCCCTGGATTCCAGAAAGGGGATGCGAGAGGCCTCTACTTGTAAACAGCAGGTAGTTATTAGCGAGAGACAGGCACCAAGAACTCGCTTTACAGCCCAGCCATACAATCGTGGGCGTTTTTTTTTTTAAACACAGCTTTAGGCCACGCATTATCTGGATGACAGCTCACCCAAGGCTCTTACAGAGCTGGTTCTGGGTCCTGCTCCTTCCTCGCTATTTTCAGGGCTTTGATGTAATGACACCCTGGAAGCAGCTGGCAAACTCAATGTAGATGAAACAACACGTCTCCACGCACTAGACCCCGGGGGCCTTCCCATGTCCGAGCCTTTGCTAACGAGTTCAACTGAGGGATCCGGCAACGCCCTGGGAGTCCTGTAGTGGTTCAGTAACTGACTTTATGTGTTTTCCAGTCGACATTTTCACACTGGCTCCAAAGTAGTTGCTCTCACAGTTGAAACACAGGAATGTTCCGGGGGTGCGGGCACTGTGTCCAGTCTAAGAAGGTGGCCCATGTCTCTGGGTGCAGGTCTGAGTCCCTCGTCCCAGGGCCACTGCTGATACCGCGTGGGGAACACCCCCCCCCGCCCCAGTGAGTTTGCCCCAGGTGGGGCACAGCCCTTTGTTCAGCAAGCAGGGTCTGCGCCCTGCGCCCGTCACAACCCCCCGCCCCCCAGGGCTTCGCACCGGGCACCCAGGAGAGGTGGGGCTGTGCAAGGAGCAGGGAGAGAGTGGGAACCACCCCTGTGGTGGTTCGCTCGTCACACTAGTCGACACAGGAACGAGGGCAGAGATGGCGCTCTGCACAGGGGCAAGTGACACTCCGTGTCCCTGTAGGAACAGAACCGCATCGAGACAGAGATTATTTTCTTTCCCCGAGTGCTGTCATGAGTGTCTTCCATCAGGAGGACCGAACAGGCTGGGCAGAGCCACCGCTGGGCACAAACACCTCACCCAGCTCTTAGGGCTCCGGGGAGGCAGAGCCTTTTCTGGGTGTGAACTTGTAAATGAGTATGAAATACGAGACTTTCTGCCTCTCCGACATGACAAGCTCAAGCCATCACACAAACACCATAAATGCTCTACTCGGGGAGTTCTACGCCGGCAAAGACCCTGGGGGAGAGCAGCACACGGCTGTCACCCACGCCGCTCTCCCCAGACCCACCGCCAGGCATCTGCGACCCCAGGCAGGCTGGCTGGGCCACCCCACGCGCTGTAACTACAGTCTTCATGGAACGCAAAAAATCAATAAAACCCAGCACGTGGACATTCTCCTCTGTGAGCGTCCTCACCGCGTTCGGCGTTCTCTCCTTTCTGTCTGGAGAGATGACCAGACACCCTGTTGTTGCGCGTCTTTGGTTTTGCTCCCGACGCCTCGCTCAGCCCCAGCTCCTGCAGATTTGGAATGCCAAAGAGGTGGGGCTGAGCCCGGGGAGAGGCCACGGGGAGGCCCCGCGGCACAGGCCCGCTCCGGAAGGCCTGTTTTCTCAATCACTGAGTCACAGTTCTATTTTGGGAAGGAGTTGCGAAATCTCCTTTCTGGGACGGTTTTCCAGGAGCCCTTGGCTAGGCCGGAGCCCTGACTCCATGAATCAGAGGTTTTCAGAGCTCAGTGAAAGGTTGCTTCTCATCAAATCCTACTCGCTGCCCCACCAGGAAGTGTGCTTGCCTGTCCCCACCTTCCCCAGGCCTGGTGGCCCTCCCCAGGCCATCTAGGAAGGCCCCGCAGCTAGAAATAAACAACCAGGGACAGGAGCTACCTGGGGCAAAGGTGAGGAGCACAAGGGCCAGGACACAGCGGGTCACCCGGCTGCTGGCTCAGCCTTTCTCCCCAGGTAGGAACACGGCCGGCTGACGCGGAAAGGTGGCGTCTCTGAGTGCAGGCTGGGCGGCGATTTCTACACGGCGAGGACCACACACCCGGAGCCCACGGGCAGCCGTCCTGGGAGGCGCGGACAGCCCTCCAAGGGCACACGCGGTGGCCAAGATTTCCAGTCTTTTTTTTTTTTTCTGTAAGACGGCTCTAGTGGTGCTCAGTTGTCTTGAACTTCATTCCAAACAGTTTTGTTAGACTGTGTGGTGACAGATGTCACATCGGCGTGCATTTTTTTTTTAATCAGAATTTTGGTGAATTTTTGTGCAGCCATTTTTTAATATTGAAAACGGAAGAAAACACGCAGCACTTTCAGCCCGCTATGTTTTATTGTTTTGAGAGGCAGAAACGGAACTGAAATGTGAAGAAAGACTCACACGATGCAGGGAGCGGCCGTGACCGACTGGAAGTGTCAGAAGTGGTTTCTAAGGTTTCGCGCTGGACAGTCCTCGCTGGACGATGCCGCCCAGTCGGGTGGACCAGCTGAAGCCGACAGCCATCGGATGGAGACATGAACTGAGAACCGGCAATGGGCTACCACGTGGGAGACACCCAACACACTCCAAACATCCAGATCAACGACGTTATTGTTGAAAATGAAAAGTGAACTTCACAGAAAGACCTAAAGGGACTCTGGGGCCGACCCGATGCTCTGAGGACTGAGTGGCCCCGTGCCTCCTACTCGCTCAGGGGCCACACTTGGGCCGGCGGCCCCACCACACACAGGGCTGGGGAGGGCTGCGGGCAGTGGGGACCGAGTGGCAGTCCGGGGCGAGAGCCTCCCACACCCGACACAGGCCTGCTGCCCGCCGGCCCTCGGAACCCATCTCCCCCCGCCTCCTCGGTCACCGCCGGGAAACGCAGCCCCTGCTGGGCCGGCAGCTGCACCTCACTCATCCTACTCACTTCTGTCTGGGTCTGCTCTCCTCACGTGTGCACACGGCC